TATTATGAAATATTATCATAAGTTAAAATAATTGTTTTCTATTTTAAAACATTTAAAAATGTAATTTATTCCTGTTATGCATAGCTGAATTTTAAGCATCATTATTCCAGTCTTCAGTGTCACATGATCCTTCAGAAATTATTCAGATAGAAACATTTCTAACAATATTAAAAATAATAGTGATGCTTAATATTTTTATGGAAACCTTGATACTTTTATATAATCTAATACAAAAATATCTAAATATATTGTTAGTTCAAATATTTTTATTTTATTTATTTATTTTAAATCTATATTTAAAAAAATAATAATAATTTTGTCTCTTTTTCGGTTTCAGACGCTCTCTGGTCTGTGGTACCACAATCGTACGGTTCACCTTGAGAGCGCCTCTGCCCAGGGCAGCAAAGCCATTAAATCTCTACTTCAGTGTGACAAGTGTGACAAGATATTCAGCAACCGAAATAGTCTGCTAAAACACCAGATAACCAATCACACAGGTAAGGAGTGAACGCCGATCCTAGCAAATTAGATACTGTTACTGTTACTGTTAGTTGCAGTGTACTAGTATTGATCGTGTTTTCAGAAGTGCACTTGTGGAAGTGTGTGAACTGTGACAGAACTCTGACGAGCGAGCAGGAGCTGCAGCAGCACGTGTGCAGCGGTCAGTCGAGTCAGACCGGCTCTGTGTTCAGCTGTATGGTCTGCTCTCTCCACTTCCCCTCTGAGCCCGAGTTCCAGCAGCACTTCCTGTCCAAACATCTGCAGGTCATGCAAGAGGAAGCACAGACGCAGGCCCCCAGTGCTCAAACGGTGACGCCCCAAACCTTTCACAATGTCCCATATCAAAAATCTCTCATATTTAAAATATGGGAAGTGAAATCAGTGAAGTGATGGCAAAAAAAGGTCAATTTTCAAGACTTTGTCACATCCATTTTATTTTTTGTAATTTTAAAATGAAGTATTTATGTATTATTTATTTATGTGGTTTAAGATTAATACTGTAGTATTTTTGTGGAACATATACATTGTACATCAAAATATTTAATATTAAGATCATACCGTTTTCCATGAATTCCATCTGTTTTACTTAAAGGTGCTGTATGTAACTTTTTGACTGTACCAAAACATAAAAACACCATAATATATTCGCAGATATTTAGGAAACATGCCAAGTTCACATACTTGTTTCTCCGAAAAACAATGCTAAAGCCAGTTATTCTTTGTAAATGTGCATTCTGTGTCAGAATGCCTGTTTTTGTTTTGGTCTGTGTGATTCCGAGCACTGTCAGTTTAACCAATAGTATTTCGACACCCCGGGTTGCCAGAGAGCGGAAAACAGCGTATCGCAGCCATGGAAGCTAGCAAATGAACTGGGTCTGACATCGCAGATTCTAGCCGACCTAAAAAGCCTCGGCATCAATCTAAAAACCTCTAAGACCAGAGGCATGTTAAAACGAGGGTAAATCAACTCATCAACTTACCGTGTAAGGCTTCCATTGTCAATTGCGCTCGTTCTCTTTTCGTGTCCTCAATCTGACAACCCGCTGCCTGGAGCAGTGTTGCCAGATTGGAAATGTCCAAGTATCCTACCAGAAATGCAAAATTATCGTATTTGGAAGAAAATGATGGTACACCAGTCAAACGTTCAGAATACACCTATTTATCTAGATGTTACAGCTATTTATCCTTTTCGGCACTCATTTTCAATACTTTATTGCTAAACTATCGACCTCAGCTTTGAAAAAAAAACTGACCTAAGTGCGGCAGGAACATTAACTTGTGCTCTTGAGAGAGAGTCATTCTCCACGATGATTGGTCGAGAAGGCGTGAGATGAGATTAAAGACAACACGTTCAAGTCTCCTCACAATCATGAAGGTATATGTACAGTAGGATCCACACAGCTAGATCAAGGAGTAATATTATAGAAGCCCTATGATTACGACGACGATCATTTGGTGTCACAAAATTCTGAAATTATCGTACATTATGGTATTATTGATCGTACATCGTACAGAGGTCAAAATTATGGTACAAATACGATAATTATCGTACGTCTGGCAACACTGGCCTGGAGCATCGCGTCTTGAGGAGGAGGGGGCGGGAGAAACAATATTTAGAATTTGGACTGCAGAACCCATTTCAACCGCCAGTTGTCTATTACATACTGCACCTTTAATGATGAAATAATATTTCACTACAAAAATAATTATAATATACACTTAAAGTATTAGTGTTATTATTAGTATTATTGATGTATTATTATTAATTAAGTGTTTTCATTCGCACATTATTTTTGTTATGATAACAAAATTGGTATAAAGTATCATAAAATATTGGTATTGGTATCGACTACTGAAATGTTGTGAAACACAATCTCCAAAATATTTATAAAACAAAACATGCCAAAGGCCAAAAATACAATGAAAAAATGTTTTAATCGGTATTCACTCAATTATTTACTTGTAAATAATTACTTTTTTAAAAGATTTTAACAGAAAATGGCTTCCCCGTCGATGGTTTTTGTGGCTCTTTCCAGGTGATTCGGTGTGAGGATGCAGCCGGTCAAGAGGCGGAGCAGGTGATTAGCCTCGACCCGTCCCGGATTGAAGGGTCACCGCAGGTGTTTGTGGCTCTGGGTGATCAGCAGGAAACTGCCAGCGGCTCTGGAATCGTGACCGTCAGCATGGAGGATCTACTGAACGGCACGGTCACACTCATCTGTGAAGAGGGCCAGTGAACTCTAGGCCACACGCGGCTTTATGATCATGACATTTCTGAGGAGTGCTGAGGCTCTTTTTACACTGGATTACACATGGTACTAAAGGCCTTCACACCATGTCATTTTACCAATCATGATACAATTTCTTTTGTACAAAAATTAATATGATCTTTAATGAACACAGGCTTCAGTCTCTGGGTCACTTGATTGGTTTTCAGGCTAAGCATACACAGGCATACAAAATCCATGTTAAAAATAGCTCAAGATGACGTCAGTCACTTCAGTGCAGTCTGAATCTTTTTTTGATTGTATTTCATTATGAACGATTTATTAAAATTGTTCTGACAGGCACAAATGGATTTTAAATTAGAAAAGTCATTTGAATTTGTTTCTAACACATCTACCTCCGATCAAGCATCATGTACAGAGATGATTTTTGGTTCTGATGGACATTGATAAATGAGACTTTGGACTGTGTTAAGATGATTGTTTTTCTGCTAAAAATAACTTCTGTAAAATATTTTGTGACCAACCCGGCTACTGTTTAGCTTTTCATTTCTGCAATCTGATGAATGCAATTTTAAGATAAGAAGTTTGTCTGAGAAAAAATAAACTTTGTATAAATAAGTATAAATGGCAAAAAATAGAATGATTTTTTTTTTATAAGTAAGACATAAGCAGGTAGAACATGGCGAGTCTTTTCATAAAGTAAGCTTAAATGACAATGTTTATTTACAGAAATTCACAAAGCATCAAGTAAAAACAATCATTTACTGTTTATATGAAAGACCACACCAACCCTCAAATACTTTTCATACAATATAGAGTAAAATATTTAAATTATATATATATATATATATATATATATAGTTTTTAGTTGATATGCCAATAATTCATAGACAACCCTGAGTCGATTTTTACATTCATAAGAGTGTAGCTTTAAAATGGTAAAACCTGACCACATTGTGCATTTCCAATAAAAAAAAAATCCAACTGTACACTCAACAGAAACTTGTTCTGTCAAAGTAAAACCAGTCTGGATTAAACTGTAATTCATCATGATCCAATCTGACCCCAAGATACAGCACATAACAATTACAACAGTTGACTGGGTTAGTATGGAGTACATAAATAATCCAGACATAAACACAAGACAAACAAATAATCTCTAGTTTTCATGTGCCACATAATGCAATGAACTATGCAGGTTCTGACTTTTCAAATAAAGCTTTGAAAGCAACAGGTGCTCGCTTTAATTTGCTTATGCATATTTGGCTGATATTGGATGCAGATAATATCAGGGCTCATATTATGAAATTAAAGCAGAAATTCTTGTAAAATTCTAGACTGAAGTTTTAATAATAGTTTTAATTTGTTACTTGTGGATTATTGTGATGTTTTTATCAGCTGTTTGGACTCTCATTCTGACAGCACCCATTCACTGCAGAGGATCCATTGGTGAGCAAGTGATGGAATGCTAAATTCTCCAAATCTGCTCCGATGAAGAAACAAAATATTGGATGGCCTGAAGGTAAACACATTTGAGCAAATTTTCATATGTGTGTGAACTATTCCTAAAAAATACACACAAAACTGAGTTATTGGCTATAATAAAAACAAATATGGGTTATTACAAATTTCTCATTGCATTACTAGTCCAGACAAAAAAAAAAAAAAAGTCAAAATAACTTTCATTTTTATGTCATGTTGTTCATGTCGGTATCATACAGCCAGTTCTGTGGATGAAGGCACACAACCAAATACTGCAACATGAACAAACTCAATTACAACACCCTAAAATATTGCAAAACTCACACAGACGGGGTTAAAAGAAGAGAAGAACACGACAATGATGTATATAACATTTCCGAGCTTACTGTAATACAATAAGCTTATTCTTGCAATGCAAACGGCATTTTGTTCATTTTCCCAGAGTGCCGCAAGGCTCCCTATTCAGCAGTGCATAGTAACATAACACCAAAAAACAGTTCTCAATTTATCACATAAAATTCATCCTGTGCAAAGCACAGACAGTTGCTTGTATTCAGTTACAAAACAATATGTAAATATAGAATTACTCATTTATAATGTTAAAGCATGTCCTCAAGTGCAGAATATCAGTAGTCAACATACATAAATGTGCACTAAGGGCAAAATCATTCGATAGTGAGCATCAGTACACCAGACTCACTATGAAGGTCAAGCATTCTTCCTGTTTTTAACTGAACTTGTGTAAATACTGAAAATATGCAACTATATTTTCAGGGTAGAGGCCTTGGAAACAAGAACAATTTATAAATAAAATCCCAATTTGAATCTGAAAGAAATTACCTGAGGTTTCAGAATAAATCACAAGTAGTCACTAGATCATAAACAGCAAATTTAGTTCCTTAAAATCACTATATACACTTTCTAACTGTCTATAGTCACTCAATTTCATTGGAAATACTATATGATCACTCCTCTTACCGAAAGTGTACTTCAAGGGCACAAAAATGCTGTTTGGGCTGCGTCTGAAATCGCATACTCACTGAGGAGGTCATTATTTTGAAGTATGTTCTATATAGTATGAATGTAACCTGGACGTCATTATCATGTGACCTACCAGAGTCAGTTGCCTTGCTTCATTGTCATTCACAAATTGTCTCCCGTGGCCTCATGGGATAGTAAAGTGTCCATCAGATGCGCAATTCAGAATCTTGCCGGAAGTAGTAGGTCACCCAGGCAGTTTTTGTCTACTGTATTATGAAAACTGTGGATTCAGACATACTACTCACATACTGTTTTCACCTACTATAAAGTAGGCCAGTATGCTATTTCGGATGCGTCCAAAATCGGATAATTCCCTTCTATATAGTATGTGAAAAACAGTACATCAAAAGGTGTAGTACCTACATCAAATTCAAATCTACTAGTATCGACTCGAACGGTGTGCGATTTCAGACGCAACATTTTGCTGGCTGTGATTTATTGTCTTATAACACAATATTGCTCTTGGACTTTATACTGACCCCTACTGGCCTGGATGCATGTTTATCCTTTACCATTTTTCATAGAAAAGCATCTCTATTTCAGCTGCTTGTACCTCTACAAAACTGCAAGTACACATAATTTGGGACAAAGTCGAATCTTATGTGAGTGTACATCATTTAAAATGTCAAAATTTGTGCTGTTTTTGATGTCATCACATCCTTAGAGTAGTGTTGCTTCTAAAGCCTACTATAGTCCAGATCCCTAAATAGGCTCTAATTTGAGGCTTTAGTTTTCAGCTAGTAATCTTCTTTTTGAGCAGGAAGGCACTGGTGATTTGGTTCATCACCACCAAGGCGGGAAAAAGTGGGAGGAGTAGGAATATATACCAGATTGTGCCTCTTACCAATGCCTGAAACCAGTCTGTAAACATGGCTGACATGACGGTGATGGTGGCCAGCATGTAGGCCACCAGACCGCAGGTGGCATGATACAGTCTCAACCGAGGAAACGAGTGAGTGCTGATGAGTTTGGGGAAGAGGAGAAAGACGCCGCAGATCGCCTGCAGCACGATAGCGGCCATTGTAGCGACTCCCAGCAGGCTGTGCCAGGAAGTGAAGTGCGGATGCTCCTTTATGTTCTTGCTGGCCACCATGAAGCTGAATCCTGTAGCTCCACACACCAGCAGCACAGCCTGGAAAAACCAGTGCAGACGGACCTTCCACTTACGTGATTTGAAGCAGAACGGGCTGCCTTCGGCGGAGAAAAGCAGGATCCCTTGTGTCATGCACAGACAAAACTAAAACAGAAGAGAGAAATAGTAAGGCTTTGTAATAATTTCATGAAGTGGACACATAAAACAGAATTGTTCGATATATATATAGACAATGTTCACAATTTAAAGTTTCTGAGTTACTGAGACTGGGCAGCAAAATAGGTGATTTCTGCAAAAAAAAAAAATGTTATGTCACAACCATGAGCACTTGCATACTTCGTATGCATACTTTGTTCAAAAGTTTGGGATGGTTTTTTAAATGTTTATGAAAAAGTCTCTTAATTTTTTATTTATTAATAATTTCAAGGCTGCATTTAGTTCATCAGCATACAATAAAAAAACACTAACGTTGTGAAGTATGATCACTTTTTAAAATAACTGTTTTGTATAAATGTGATTTATTCCTGTGATGCAAAGCTGAATTTTCCGCATCATTACTCCAGTCTTCAGTGTCACATGATCCTGATTCAGAAATCATAAATATGCTGATTTGCTGCTCAGGAAACATTTATTATCAATGTTAAAAACAGTTGTGCTGTTTAATATTGTTGTGGAAACCGTGATGAATTTTTCTCCAGAATTTTTTGCAAAAATGTAAAAGTCTTTACGGTCATTTTTTATCATTAATGCCTCTGTGCTAAAAATAAATTAACTTGTATGAAAAAATAAAAATAAAATCCCCAAACTTTTGAATGGTTGTGTATATGATGACTTGCTCTTGATTGACTGTTCTGTATAGAGAATAAAATAAATCATAGACTATTTCCTATACTGTCCATGGGTCAAAATCTGAGACTGACCTCTGTCAGGTCATCTCACATTATTAGTACAGAATGTGTTATCTTTGTCATCAAGGTGAATGTAATCAGATTCCGACGGTAAAGCAGCTGAGGATAATTCCACTGTCTTTGTGTTTCACCACACTCAATTCATTATTTACAAAAGACATATTTTATTCATTCCCTGAGACGCTGAACATCACAGAGACACAATGCATTATTAAAAACTCCAGGGGTGAGTTTTTATAGGTTTTTATAAACCCATGACTGAAAATATGATACATTGTATAATATTTTGTGTATTTGAATGTATAAAAACTTACCCCAAGTGACATGCAGACAGGATGCCATGAGAAGAGACCTGAAATTAATAAACACAGGAGTTAAAGAAAAATAGGGATTTATAATATTTGGAAATACTTTATATTAATTTTCATTTTATCAATACCAAAACATATATGCTTAATGTCATTAGTTCATGGTAATATTATAGAATTGCCACGGCACATGTCTGAAAACATAGTAATACCATGTTTTGTTTTTTGTACTTTCATACATACTCCAAAATACTATCTTGCTCTACTATACTATTCTACTATATATACACTAAATACTCCAAGATACTATTAAATTATCATGGTACAGCCTGTCAAAAACAAGTACAAATGTCCAAAATCATTGTAATATCACCGTACTTGGATATATACCATGGTAATGACTGATTATTGTATTCATAACCCATGGTACGCCAATGTACTTTAAACAATATCCTACAATTGCAACATTACACTTCCAAAACACAGTACTGCCATGGTAACATGTCTGAAAACCCAGGTACTTCTTAATTTGTTATAGAAATGGCTACTTTTGGAGTAGAAATGACAAAGCCCTTTCATTTCTATATATTCATACATATTTATAAATCAATGCAGGTCCATATTTGCTACTAATCTGTCAGGCACTTTTATGTGTTTATATGAGTTATAAAAGTTTATAAAATATTGCCAACACCACCATAAATTGCCACAGTACTATCATATTCTTGGACATGTACCATGGTATTTTTTTTTAAGTACCATGCAAATATCACTTGAATTTCCACGACATCTGATACCATCACTATACCATGGTACTTTTTAGTAAAGGAAACATCTAAAAGTGGCGCCGTATATCTATCTGCATGTACATAGAGCTGTAGAAATGTGCGAAAGAAGTGAAAAGACTCACTTGTTCCTGGTCTGGACAGTATGGATGTGAGAATGACCAGGCCGAGTGAGATGATGTGCGCAGCGACCACAGCCAGTCTGCGCAGCCACACATAGAGCCAGAACTCCCGCATCCCGAGCCCCTCTCCCACCGCACTGTACTCAACATCCAGAGACGAGCGCATCCCCCTCGCCATTCCTGATAGTTCATTCAGGAACTCAGATTTTTACATTTACGCCTAAATTACTCAATAGAAAACGTATCTCAGGTGTCATTCCTACTGAGCTTCACAAAACCTGATTTTTAGTTCCGAAACGCATATAGATTTCAACTTATGAACTCTCTTGGTTATAAAATTAAACTTGCGGTAGGAAAGTTGTTAGTCCTGTTCGGTGCCATTTTCGTGTGACAGTGATACTTGGAAATGCATTTCCTGCATAGGAATCCTACTACGATAAAGGATGGGCTCTTAATATTCAGGAGCCATGCAGTTGCGATTGGAAGGTCACCAAGCAACGAGAGCACGACTACATTAATATTCAATAGCCAAGTATTCGCCATAGGTGAGCAGCCTTCTTTATATTCAAAGTACACACGATACGTAACTGCAATCTACTTAATTATTTATGAGCTAAGCTTCTGCCAGGATAGGACAGTACTTACGCATGCGCAAGACATTTTAAAGTGAGAGAAACAGAGCAGGGAGATATCTAATGACGAACAGCTGACCCGTTTTCACGCACAAAACCAACTTTTGTCAAAAAAAAACAAAAACTCTGGTTTGAGCATCTTGACAGTTACTGCAAATATTGTCCTTGTAAAAAAAAAAAAAAAAAAGAAGTGTGGTGCTCTTAAGTTATGAGTTCCACATCTCTGACAAACTAATTTCCATTATTTTTCCAGTCCTTCATGATTACTTGATAAGGATTAAAAAAAATAAATGTATAGAGATTGCAGTCAATAAGAGGCCAAACATCACTACAAAAAAAAACTGTATGCAGCAAGCACTTTTAAAATAACTGAGTAAAATACCACAAAAATGCACACAACATATATATTAGTCAGCTATTTAACAAAGCACTGAGTGAAATATACATGCATGCTTTGTGAGTTTTTTTTTTTTGGTGAGATTTCATATATTAAAATAATTTTTTTTTAAGACAGAATGAGAATTTATTTTTCCCTAAAACGTCATATTTACCTTTGAGGATTTTTAAAAATCACTGTAATAAGACTGGAAAATGTATGCTTAAATGTCGTCATGAAAATAAAATGTCACAATGACAGGTTTCGTCAAATTCACCCATTTATCAATTAAAAAAATGTCATAATAATAAAAAAGGACCTAGTGCTGAGTATAAAGAATATTTTAATCCATTTTATAAACAACATTTAGGTAGCAGCATTATTCAGTAGATTCTGAGGTATTTTCTGAATTCACAGAGAAATTCACTCCCCCGTCTCATTACATACACCTCCACATACACACACACACACAGATAGACATTCATAATAGCTAAACATGTGCGCACACACACACAGTTCAAACAGTCAGTCAAACATGCGGAGTCCTGCGTCCATAGTTCTATATGGTAGAGTTCGTAGGGCTCGCTCTTTTAGAGGCTTGTAAGGCTGGCACTCTCAGTGGTGCAATTTTGGCTGTTGAAAAAGGCAACAGAGAACAATTACTATGATAAACAATGTTAACATTAATGTTTGCCTAATATTATACCCATCTTCAGTGTCACATGATCTTTCAGAAATCATTCTAATATGCTGATTTGCTGCTCAAGAAACATTTCTTATTATCAATGTTGAACAAAGTTGTGCTGCTTAATATTTCTGTGGAAACCGTGATGCATTTTTGTTTTAGGATTCTATAATTAATAGAAAGAACAAAAGAATATTTTTGTGGAAACTGATCAATTTTTTTAAAATCCTTTGAATAGTAAGATTACAAGAACAGCATTTATATTTTAGTAACCATCAATCTTAAGCAACTTTGCTGAATAAGTGTTAATTTCTTAAAAAAAAAAAAACTTTTGAACAGTAGTGTGTGTTTCTCATCACCTTTTTACAATGCAGATCCTTTTAAGATCCACAGAATTCACTCTTATTCATATTAACATGAACCCTCACATTGTGTGTAATTGTGTTTAATTTGGCTATGCTTTCAGAACTGGAAAAAAAATTAGGGATGCTCCGATCCGCCTTTTTTGCCTCCGATACCGATTCCGATACCTAGGGTTCGTATTGGCCGATACCGATACCAGTGAAGTTTTTTTCCCTCATTTAAATAAATGTAGAATTTATATATCTCTGTGTGTGGAACTGATAATCATTCTTTCACAATCTACTAGATACAGACTACTTCATTATAAAGAAAAATAAAATAAACAATAAATATGAAAAAATATAGGCCTGTGTATATTTATAATCTATGACAAAAATGTATCATAAACTAGGTTAGTGGATAATTCGGCAGCAAAAGTTATTCTAGAAAAATCAGTGCACAATAATTTTAGAAATCCAAAAATTTAGTGAAAAAAACTTTTGTGGGGAACAAATAAAAGTGTTGCACTAAATATGGTAAAATGTTAGACATTGCTGTTTGTATTATAAAATCCATTCATCAAAAATTCACAACCCTCTACGGACACCTTGGCAATTGAATCGCCATTGGCTAATTGGGGTAGATACATATATATATATATATATATATATATATATATATACATACACACACAGGGTTGGGAGGGTTACTTTTCAAATGTATTCAGTTACAGTTACAAATTACTTAATTAAAAAAGTATTCATTAACGTAATCCAAGTACCACAATATAAAAGTAATGTAATCTGATTACTTTTGGATTACTTTTATTTTTATTACTTTAACATGTACAAGTAAAAATAAATAGATTATACACATTTAAAAATTTACACCATATACATATTTGTCTATTTTAAAATAAGCCTACATGTTGAAATGCATGTGAGATGCTATCTTTCTTTATTTCATTGACTGATCCGGGGTGTGGGGACTCATGTAATTTCTACATTTTCAGGCTCATTTTTCGCTAGAAAACTTACACCTGCAGTCATGCACACCATGGAATTTTAAATCACTAACAAACACTAAATTTTAGCTAACATGATGATTTCCATGCTAGTCGTACCTGCAAATTTTCATGTTGGTTGAGTAGCCTTTGTTAAAGCAAGAGTCTTCATGCATAGCTTACGCTTTACAACCATGTTATTTCCTTTATCCTCTTTGAAAACAAAATAACTGTGAAATTTCCAGACATGAAAAAGTTTTTCACAGCAGGAAGCATCGTAATTAATTTACTGTAGCAGCATCTGTCAGTCATCCCGCCTTTGAGGAGAATAATTGCAGATGGGTGTTATTTGCGCACGCACCAGCAGGTGGCTCACGTGAGTCAACATGTGTCAACAGAACCAGTAAATATATAGTGTTATGTCAAAATACTCATTTATTTAATTTTAAATGAAACAAATGTAATCCTGATAGTAGGGCTGTGCAAAAAATCGAATGCGATTTTCATGCGAATCTTGTCAGTAAAGCCGCTTCTGGTGATTAGTAGTAAATCTCCAGCACGTGCTTTCAGATGGAGCGGCATTTACTACACAGAGCCGTAGATCACCGACAAGCTACACAAAATCGCGATTGGGGTAGATACATATATATATATATATATATATATATATATATATATATACACACACAGGGTTGGGAGGGTTACTTTTCAAATGTATTCAGTTACAGTTACAAATTACTTAATTAAAAAAGTATTCATTAACGTAATCCAAGTACCACAATATAAAAGTAATGTAATCTGATTACTTTTGGATTACTTTTATTTTTATTACTTTAACATGTACAAGTAAAAATAAATAGATTATACACATTTAAAAATTTACACCATATACATATTTGTCTATTTTAAAATAAGCCTACATGTTGAAATGCATGTGAGATGCTATCTTTCTTTATTTCATTGACTGATCCGGGGTGTGGGGACTCATGTAATTTCTACATTTTCAGGCTCATTTTTCGCTAGAAAACTTACACCTGCAGTCATGCACACCATGGAATTTTAAATCACTAACAAACACTAAATTTTAGCTAACATGATGATTTCCATGCTAGTCGTACCTGCAAATTTTCAAGTTGGTTGAGTAGCCTTTGTTAAAGCAAGAGTCTTCATGCATAGCTTACGCTTTACAACCATGTTATTTCCTTTATCCTCTTTGAAAACAAAATAACTGTGAAATTTCCAGACATGAAAAAGTTTTTCACAGCAGGAAGCATCGTAATTAATTTACTGTAGCAGCATCTGTCAGTCATCCCGCCTTTGAGGAGAATAATTGCAGATGGGTGTTATTTGCGCACGCACCAGCAGGTGGCTCACGTGAGTCAACATGTGTCAACAGAACCAGTAAATATATAGTGTTATGTCAAAATACTCATTTATTTAATTTTAAATGAAACAAATGTAATCCTGATAGTAGGGCTGTGCAAAAAATCGAATGCGATTTTCATGCGAATCTTGTCAGTAAAGCCGCTTCTGGTGATTAGTAGTAAATCTCCAGCACGTGCTTTCAGATGGAGCGGCATTTACGACACAGAGCCGTAGATCACCGACAAGCTACACAAAATCGCGATTTTTTTGCCCAGCCCTACCTGATAGTATTCCCACTTTTTAGTAAATGTAACTGTAATCTGAATACTTTGTTTTTTGATGTAACTAACGGATTACAGTTACTAGATTTATGTATCCTGATTACGTAACGCCGTTACATGTATTCCATTACTCCTCAGCCCTGCGCATATATACATATATATATATATATATATATATATATATACACAATTTTATGCAGTTTACTATTGTTTGAGAGTTACAGTTGAAAGAGATATTAAGTATTAAGTTCGTTTTAACAAAACTAAATGTTTGCTCACCTTTTGTGTGCTGAGTTTCTTTTCCCCTCCTATGGAGAGTCCCGCCCCTTTGCTTTCTTTCCAGGGATAGAAACCGGAATGTGGGGAAGTGGGGAGCCGGTGGGGTTTGGAGGGTGGAGAGGAGCCACTGCTCTTGCGTTTCTTCCCCAAACCCTTGTGATCAAAGCTGGCCACCCTGCCATGCAGTCCTGAGTCCACTCCTCGGCTGTGTGGGGCAGAGTCGGGGGGCGAATGGTGGGCCGGGAGGTGAGTCCTCTTAAAGGCCCACAAGGATGGCGTGTGGGGATCAGAGGGCGCGAGCTGGGGACGTGGCCTGCTTCCCGGCGAAAGCGAGCCGTTGGTTTGTCCGTGAGAGGCTGACGGCGGTGTTTTGCTGATGAGGGGCCGCCCCTTGTTCTGAGAAACGAAATTCTTGTC